ATGAAATTTTGGACCCGGCAGAATTACATTTCTAAATTTAGTTAAAGACTTATAATAAAGATTTGTTCATAAAGACAACACAGCAAAGGTGCAAAGAAATATCTAAATCGGTTATACTGCATAGCCTTGCATAATATTGCATACCAGATAAAAAGCATGAGTCATGATAAACAAGTACATACTAAAATTGGGATTGGACGTGAACTATGTGGGTAATTCATCAGGAGAAGAATGCTTGTATTGAACAAAGAATTTACGTGTGAGCTTATCGTTAGCTGTTAAATAAATTTGTCTCCACGATAACAAAAATTCATGTATTGATCCCAAATTGAGACTGAGACTGAGATTTCCTCAGATTTATTGAGTTTTATGACACATTTTTGAGGGTTAATGAAATTTAGCGAGAATCAGAGTAATAAGCATATTCGGATATGAGTATACTAGCGTATAAGCCCGTCTCCAGCCGAGCGAGCGAAAATTATTTTCCACAACGCAAGCGAGAGTAAATAAAGTCAAGTTTCGAATGGCGCGAGAATTAAAAACAAATTAAATTTAAAAGCTTCAATGTCTGATCATAGTTATCTTGGGTGGTTATATTGATCATTTCATTGCTATGTGAAGTGGAAGTGAGGTTAATTTAGACTCACTGAGTACAATAACACGTCGAAGTACAGTAAATAATATCCTTGCTGGCTAGTGCCTTCGTCAGAATATTTCCTTTTGTGTTTTTCTTTATTCATGGTGTTTATTAAATTTAATTGGAGGTACAATCGTATCAAGTAAAACCCCAAACCTCTGATTTCAAACTATGAACTACGATGCGGTGTCTCAGTGTAACTGGACCACACTCCCACTTTCTCCAGTGGAATGACAAATTCCGAGTACTCGTGTCTGACTCCCACTCCACTTCCACTCCACTCTGCAGTGGAGTGATAAATGTAACTCATTCCCACTTCACTTCGCAGTGATATAACCACCCAGATAAGCACCATCAGACAACCACTCCCAGATAAGCACCATCAGACAACCACTCCCAGATAAGCACCATCAGACAACCACTCCCAGATAAGCACCATCAGACAACCACTCCCAGATAAGCACCATCAGACAACCACTCCCAGATAAGCACACCATCAGACAACCACTCCCAGATAAGCACCATCAGACAACCACTCCCAGATAAGCACCATCAGACAACCACTCCCAGATAAGCACCATCAGACCACCACTCCCAGATAAGCACCATCAGACAAACACTCCCAGATAAGCACCATCAGACAACCACTCCCAGATAAGCACCATCAGACCACCACTCCCAGATAAGCACCATCAGACAAACACTCCCAGATAAGCACCATCAGACAACCACTTCCAGATAAGCACCATCAGACAAAGACTCCCCGATAAGCACCATCAGACAAAGACTCCCCGATAAGCACCATCAGACAACCACTCCCAGATAAGCACCATCAGACAACCACTCCCAGATAAGCACCATCAGACAAACACTCCCCGATAAGCACCATCAGACAACCACTTCCAGATAAGCACCATCAGACAAAGACTCCCCGATAAGCACCATCAGACAACCACTCCCAGATAAGCACCATCAGACAACCACTCCCAGATAAGCACCATCAGACCACCACTCCCAGATAACCACTTCCAGATAAACACCATAAGACAACCACTTTCAGATAAGCACCATCAGACAACCACTCCCAGAAAAGCACCATGAGACAACCACCCCCAGATAAGCACCATTAGACAACCACTTTCAGATAAGCACCATTAGACAACCACTTTCAGATAAGCACCATCAGACAACCACTCCCAGAAAGCACCATGAGACAACCACCCCCAGATAAGCACCATTAGACAACCATTCCTAGATAACCACACCTAGATAACTAACATGTGACACCAAATTTTAGAATTTTTAGTTTGTTTTGAATTTTCGCGCCATTCAAAACTTAACTTTCTCCACTTTCACTTCCGTTTCGGAAAATTACTTTCACTTCCGTTGCCAAAAGACATTTCCAGCTTAATTAACTTTTTCAATACATATTTATATGTATATACATAAGTTATTTGGCGTTCGAAAATAATCAATGACCAGAATTCCAACTTGCTTATTTATCCGAACCATTTCAATTCTGCAAAATATTAACAAGACAGTACTAACGCCAATTTGAATGTCATGATTGTTGAAAATATGCAAATGATTAAACATCTTCCGTACATATGTAAATTATTCCTTCCCACAGGTACATAATTCTAAGTTTTCATAAACTTTAGCAACTCAATCTTAATGTATCACCACTTTATCTACATCAATTAACAGCACCCATTCCAGGCTTTGGTATCATTTCAGATTCTCCACTATAACCCCAATTACTGAGTCCAAATATAAAATCCAGAACTATCACAAGAACGATTTCTCCCATCCAGATGTACATTGTGTATATGATAAATTTCAGTTGCTTAGTTGCCTCACATTTCAGGAAGTCTTCCGTCCTCAAATTTTGTTAGAAGAGTAAATAAATTCACGTTAGCTTTGGTAATACGACAGTTATCGTATTTAATTATAAATTGGTTTACTCCTCCTTCTGAAGTTGAGTTCTTATCGGCCTTTGATCCACACACTTTGTGAATGTAAATTCCAAAGGTCGTGTTCTTCGATGGTCCAGATCCCTTCTGAAATCTGACAGACTCGGCAGCACCTATCCAAACTGTCCCCAAAGCACCAGCACAGGCGGCAAGTACAAGTACACACTAAGAATTCGATGGTGTGAAATTTCGAAATTATGTGGTCCACGTTAATACAACCAACGTTTCTTCAGGCAGTTTGTGAGATGGGCAGAATTTGTCAACATATTTGAGGTCAAAGTTGAAAAAACGGGCGATTTTTACCCGGCCGAGGACGCAAACGCAACTTCCCTTCTCTTCCCGTGATAAAAATGACACATTTTTCAACTTTGACCTCAAATAGTTTGCCAAATTCCGACGATCGCACAAACTGCCTTAAGAAACATTGGTTGTATGGAAGTGGACAAAATTATTTCGAAATTTCAACCAAATCGTATGGTTACACTTCACACCATCGCCTTCTAAGTTTAAACTAGGGTTTCGACGATTATCCCTAAAATTATTCGACCTTTATATACAACTTGCATACAAAGTTCGGATAATTTCTCGGATATCCGTAGCCACCCTAGTTTTTAAATTAAGATTAACGAAGATAAATAAAGATAAACAACATTACCCTGAAACCCTGTTTGAACTTTAGCTGGGATCCTTGAACGTTCCTGAAGATTATGAAGCTTGCCACCAAAATCACAATTCCACAAGTTGAAAATAGTAAAACAAATGACCAAATATTTCCAGTTTCAGAAAGATTCAATTTTGGACTGATTGTTTCTTTCCAAATTATGCTATACGTAGTAATAACCGCAATAGCTGAAATCTAATAACAAAATTTTAAAGTTCAAAACTTTATTGATTTTATTGATTGATTACCACTTTAAACTTACGAGAAGAATGATGTACAAAACCAAATTGGTTCTTCTTATAAATTTCAGAATTGGATTTGGTACCAGGTCCTGGTTATTATCCAAAACAGCAGCGAAGGGATGTACTCTGGACAATTTGGAAATCTGTATTATTTCCCCACCATCCGAATGGAGTTGTTCCATTCTCGAGTACTAAATTCCCAATAAATCAATGATATTTATTTCGATACTTTGTTTAGAATTTTATATAGAAGTAAATACATGCTTAAAGGCATAAGTTTGATAGAATTGTCGAACATTAAACTAAGGAACACATGATTACCTTGGGCTAAAAAACAATGTTTTCGTGATGCGTGTCACACGCGATATGAATCATATCATATTATTTTATGTACATCGACATTACAGATATTTTAACATTAGCAATGCATACGTTTTTCAAAAGAGTTTCTTAAAAGTTTCATGACAGCTAAGTAAAAATGTGGTATGTATGTAAAACTCTGTGTTGTTTGAAATTAAAAGTTATTTTCCTACCTCCAAGCACAACTCGCAAGGCAGTTTTGATGGTTAGAAATATGTAATCAAAATATTTCAGGTCAAATTTGAAAATGAAAGACTTTTTTGAGGAAATGGAAGTATAATTTTCTTGTACAGCTTTGTTTGAATTGTCCATTGATTCTGTTCATAAATTAATTTTCGTCTGCAAAAAAAACACAAAAATTGCTTCCTATTTATTGGATTTTTTTTTCATGACCCCTACCAATTGAGTAATCACCGATCAATTATGAAAGTAGTAATCGTATGTACAGGCTTAAACCCTGGACATATGCATTTCAAAATTTGTGGATGTATGTCACAGCATCCATCGGTGGAGTCAACCCTTACAAACGAAGCAACCTGAAAGCCCAGTGACATATTCTTGTCACAGAATCCATTCATACATGAAACGGAGAACAATGTCGCTTAAGATATTTGTGAGAAAATGCTTGCCATGGCTATTTTATGTTGCTTCGTTTATTGTAAGTTGAGCTTTTACTGAAAATGAGACAACATACAATTTCCAAGCTAATTTTAAAAAAGACTTATGGAAAAGTATTCTTGCTTATGTACAAAATACTTGAAGGGACTTGTGTGCCACAATAATAATGAGAGAGTAATAAAGATTTTTCTTATGCCCCCTTGATGAAACTTATCTACGTCATACAATACATACATGCATACTTTACAACTTAATGTCATCCGTCAAGGTGTCCATCATTTCAGTTGTCCTTGGACGATTGCATACTGTTTACAAGCGGTTTTCATTCGGAAAAATTTAGCGAATTCATTTGTGTGGTATAAAAAAATTACAAACCAATTAGGGAATTTGTCATATCGACTTGTTGTAGTATCGAAAATTAGATTTAGTTTAAAATATAAAAAAAAATTGTATTTGTGGAAACAATCCATGTTCCTAATGGTAAAGATGACACGAGGCAAAAGGCAATATACGAGCATCAAAAATTTTATTGTCTATAACATTACATTTTATCCGACGGGTTTATCTACACTTTGTAATGTCCTTTGCAATTTATAATTGTTCTTTATCCCGTACTTACATTTTGGTTCTAAATTAATAAAACCAAATTTGTACACATAAACCAGTTTAACGGAATTTACTACCATATATCTCGCATGGTAGAAGTTAAAATTGCATTATTATCTATTATATTCGCTCTTCATACAGCGGCCGCGGATGCGTGGGGACATGGGGACAATGTCCCCACGGAAATTTTGCCGTGGGGACAGTCAATGCATTTGTCCCGACGGTCTTGTGAGGGCCAAGTACATTAATAAAAAACATTGATCACCATGCGGTAACCTTATTTGTCATTTACTACTAAATTTCTGAATAAATTCAATAACTACCTCGTGATTGGACTGTTTTATCATAGCGTGGTCAGACCTGGTTATTGCTGTGTCACTTTCAGCCCACCGTCTAGCAATATTTGGCCCTTTTTTCATTTCACCAAAAACGACGGATGACCGGACACTGGAATTGCTTACAGGAATATTTACTAACTCCAAAATCGTCAACCCATCTCCATTCCTGCAGTCAAATAACGAGCCCATCTTATTTGCCGCTATTAAGTCTAGAAACTTACTAAGATCTGATTTCTCAATATAAGGAAATGTATCATTGTCCTTTATGAGCATATGTAAAAATGTGTCGCCATCTTTATTTTGCTCGTCCAGCGAAACCATGTTTGCCACCAGGATCTCGAGAATTTCAAAGAAGTGTAAGGATGGTATGCTTTCGTGATAAAGGCCAGCAAAGCATGCATAATGCCACGCATTCCATAAATTTAAAGGATTCCTGTAATGAATATCTGCTCCGTGCCCCATCAAAACCATGATAACGTCTGACATTGGTGTATTCGTGACATTTTTAATTGCCAGCATCAACGAAGTATTTCCCTCATTATCAGGAAGATTAATTTGAGAGCTGGAATCTAGCATATTCCGCAGAATAAAATTTAGGGCACACTTATTACCACGTTCTGCTGCTATCATGAAAGGCGGTCGCCCAACGCTATCTTTCGCGTATACCAATTCCGGATATTTGGAGACAATCCTGGCTGTCAATAGATTAGCAGCTTCCGCTCGTTTTCCATTCCATCTAAACGCACAAGCATGTAACGCAGTGTACCCATCCCTTCCTTTCTCACATGGATTTGCATTCTTATCCAAGAAGTACTTTGCAGCTTCCAGCTTTCCCCAGTATATTGCGTTCACGAGTAAATTGTCAGAATCGGCACTTGATAAAAAATCCCCCTGTAAATCGAGCCCCTCCACTAATTCAGTCAATATGTCAAGATTCATACGTAACATGCAACACTTTACAGTATCCGTTATTCCAGCTTTCCAAAGCGAGTCAGGAATATCACCTCTATTAATTTTAAGTTGTTGAATAAAATAACGTCTTAGTCCGCAAAAATCCTTTCGTAATGCTGATTCAAATCCATTTTCATGAACTTCGATTGCAAGTATTTTCCGGGCTGAATTTGTATCTCCGAGTTGTTTGACGATTTGTTTGGTTTCGTTGAAAAATCTATTGTCAATCATTACTTTCAAGGATCCTTTCTCCAGGAAGTATTTTCTGGGAAGCATAAATAATAATTACTTACTGACATGAAGTTGTCTTATGGATATTGAATAAACGAGACGAACCTGATTAGACATTCATAATTTGCTGCATATGACCAAACGATGGAAATTTGTCTAGGGATAAAATAAACGTCGAGAATATCTCCCTCCACATCTTTCAATTCGGGATGATCCTTACTGACGAGCTCCTCCAATATGTTATACTCTCGCTCTTCATCCCTTTGTATTGCTCTCAATGTTTCTTTAACTAAGCGATGAACTACTACTTCATTCATTACAGCTGAATACTCGTGAGTTCTATAGTTAACCAATGAAAAGCTGGAAACCAAGTCGACGACACTTTTCAACACAAAGATTGGTTCAAGATGTACCAAACTTTCTTCTGAAATTGTTTCCACATCTTGTCTAACCGTGGTGCTATGTTTCAGAAAATATTTGATAATAAACTCATCACGCAAATACACACATCTCTCGATAAAATGAGTCGCGGCGTTGGCATACAAATTGTTTGATGTTTGCAATTTTTCCAGAGCAATTTTCACACAAATATATAAACTTTTCTTATATTGCAAGTTCAGATTATCTTTCTTTTTAGGATCGAGTGGATACTTGATTATTTTTGATCTGTCCTTCATTTCTTTCACAAACTAAGGAATTGTGTAAGGACTGTTGGCAATGGTTGCTGCCATAATGCACAGAATTACCGGGATTCTTCCAGACTCCAAGGCAAGGAGGGAAATATCAGACTCTAGGTTTTCGACGGACTCTATGGATCAAATTATTGTCGATATTTTATTAATAGGTCGTCTTTCCTAGTATCATACTTTATCCCTTGTAAATAATAATTTATAGCGCAGCTCTAATACAGTTAAAATTACCTGGTAGTAGTTTAGAAATCAACTCTACGGCCTCAATCTCTTCTAAAACATCCACCCTAAACGATACAATTTCCCCCATTGCGGTTGGGATAGAAATCTTCTCCACAGATGTCAGTAAGAGAGCTATATTATCCATATTTTTGTTTAGCGGTAAATATTTCTCGATTTCTTCAAATCCATTTACATTGTCAAATATTACTAGGACTTTTTGCGGACCTTTCAAATTTATAAAATCTTAAAGTTTATTAGCCAGCAGAAGCCCAAGATTTTCTTGCAGGTCTTGAATTCCTTGATTTATTAATTCTCTTCTAATTTTTTCTATGATTCCAGATTCGTGTTCGGCATCTATCCATATCACTCCATTGAATATATTTTCTTTCGCGCATTTGTCTGCAATTCTTTGTGCAGTTTGTGTTTTTCCGTGACCACCAAGACCGTGCAGATCTGCAAGGGGAAATCCAACCTGATTACTAGGATTTTTTCCAAATTCTGAAAGACTTTTAATAACGTCTTCAATAAGTTGACATCTCCCAGTGAAATTTTTATCAGGCTTTGGACATGGCAAAAAGATAATTCCTTCTTCTATCTTACTCTTCTTGGTCTATAGAACGATGTCGGTTATCAACTTTTTTGAAAAAAAACAAGCAAAAAAATTGTTAGAAATTACTCCTGGTGCCATGTCTCCATCCATGTTTATTCTTTCAACCGCTGTGATTGCTTGGCTAGATTTGTCAGGAGGACCATCCGTTCTAAACATGACAAAAATAACCCTTTGCATTAAAATAGTTATATTAATCAGTTAGCACTTTGAAATGATTTCATTACAGGTTTAAAAAATGTTCCTTTATATTATCTGAAATTATAAAATTTCTTAAAATATTTTTCTAATAGTAACAAAGGCTCGAAATCATTACTCGAAATCATTTTAAGCCCGAGTTGACTCAATACTTTGCATAATTCTCCCACTGTAGCTTCCCTCCTGAATCTAGCGGCCCATTCCTGAAGCATTTTTTGAAAAAGGATGTCGTACTTTATAAGGCCCATTACCAACTGGGGATAATGTCTGGTCTCGAATTCAACATTTAGACCAAGTTCTTGTGAAACCCGGATCCAGTTTTGCATCGCGATTGGATCGTGTACCATTATTTTTGCGACTTCTTGTTGATCCTTTTCATCTCTTAACACTTTAGAATACAAAATATTTATGTATGTTTAACTATGAACTTGTGCGTATTATTTTGAGAGTAAATAGAATTTTAAGGCTCCAAACCTCTATCCATCTTGTTGGATTTACCGTGGGTGATTCGCCTTGAACGCTGGTACTAGTTTAACAGAAAAACTAATTTTATTAACCAACCTGTTGTGCAATTAAAGTATATAAGTTCTCAACCGATTAAACGGTTCTAGTTTGTGGCAATATATTTAGAAAGTGGTTGCCAAATTTTCCGTATAATGTTTCTTACAACGTCTACAATATTGTATAAAATTTAACAGTAGTATTCTCTAACAGATTGATTCCACCACCACTTTAATTTACATCGGAGTTTAATTACACTTTTTTCCGTACGAATATGTAACTTATCCTCGTAAATTATCTATTCTCACACAATCCCGTAACGAGTTAGGTGTGGCTATTGTGATGTGCAGTGGTGCCACAATGGCGGTCCTCTTATATACCAGTCTTATATACCAGTGAGGTTCTGACGATTTCGTTGGAATGATTCTATTTACGTTGAGACTGGTGAATGTATCTCCCATAACTCTTCGACATCAGAAATACAGTCAGGATAGGATGCATAAATTGCTGATGTGACGTCCGCCTTATCAATGGAATAATGAATACAAACCTACCTAAATTGATAAGGATGGAATGCTCACCTTTTTAAGTTGGGTTGTTAATCCTGAATACATATGTAAATATAAGCATGCGGGACAAACAATTAGATGCATAACTTTTTAATCTTATAGAATCTTGCGGCTTATGAAACCGTTAATTACCCCTGTTCCGCAGTCTGTAGGTGTGTTGTCAGTAAAATATGTAAAGCACGAGTTTTAAGATAAATTATATTACTGGTTGGTATATGATGTCATGGGTAGATAGATGAATGGGAACCTGTGAAATGTCAAAATGGTGCTAGGAAGATAAAATTTGCGCAAGATATTTTTAATGGCTCTACACAGAAGAATCTAAATTAAAATTTTATACCGTTTCATAAACAGGGAACACCAAAAAATCCACCAAAAACATGTCCAAATCTTTTGTAGACAACCCCAACATTCGCGAGGGTTTTACCTAGACAACAAAAATTTCAACAATTTATCTTCGCAAGTTCTGAAATTACGAAAAAAATTTGAAATTTTGAAAATTTTGAAAATTTTGAAGAAATTTTGATGGAATTATAAAATTTTTCAAAAATTTTGAAACAGAACAAACTATGTGAAATGTGCCAACTCTCGTGAATAATTTTTAACCAAGCCGTACACACAAGGGTAAGACAATAAAATCATCGAATTACAGAGTATGAATTCCAATAATTGTACTCCAGTGGAAGGACCACCTGCTAAACATTTTTGTCCTCGTGTTCGCCGTGTACCCTGTTTTCTTAACCCTTTGTGCCCTCATTCTTAACTTTCACCCCTTACCTATGCTAATTAATTGCGCCTACCCTGACAAATTGCCAAATTACACATCAATCCTCTTCCTACTGGTCAAGGCTCCATTCATCGCGCTCGTCTGCGTCCATGTCTGCAGATCGTTTGCCAACGTCATCAGTCATTCCACCGTGCTGATCCATATGGTCTTGAGTTGTATCGACCGCGTGGTTCTGGATGGTAAACAGCTATCCCGCGGCACCATGACGTCATCCCAGAATTTGCGCGGTTACGTTCAAATACAGGTGCTCCTCGGTCAGTTACCGTTAGCCGCGTTTGAAACGATTGTAGCCTCCTTAATGCTGTTAGGGCTCCTGGTCTGCGTCACCTTTAACTACGTGACGATCTCACACCGATCCTGATTTGGATCATGCTGTCCATGACGGTGGCCATTTTTGAGGGGGGCCGTGTCATCAGGGGGACCGTGTGGACGACCCTGCTGGGACTGAGTAGTGCGAAAAAGTACTTTAAGAGAAAGATGAAGGGAATTGGGGAGATTGCGTTTTATGCGTCATGTTTCCAATATCGTTTATACCGACTGCAAAATTCCACGAAGGCAACGTTCTACGCGGTAATAATTGATCGCACGGTTACTGCCCTTTTGTCGATTGAGAGTGGTTGAGGGGCCGTCCATATGTTACGTTGTCAAGAATTTTTGAGTTTGAGTCAACCATACCCAGCCAACTTAAACATTTAGGGATTCGGAATTTCAACATGGGATGGATAGGCAGACATACACTCAATAAAACAAGTATTCGTAACCAGAGCACAAGGTTCAGGATGGAAGCTGCAACTTTAACATGGGTTGACTGATACCCATGAAAATTTGAACAAATATCACTAATCGCATCTAGCTTCAAACTCTATTCTCATTTCAAAGTTTAACCCGCCAGTAGCAGAACTATTGCTCACGTTTCCGAAAAATGAGAATTTTAAACATCAAAAAGTATTCGTACCCTTGAAATTTATAATTACTCCTGGTTGGATAAAATTATTCAAATATTCGATTTCATGTTACTAGGCAACTAAATACCTAGACACATAAAAAGTTTCGAAAAGTGAACTGATTTCCACAGCCTGGCTGTGGAAATGTTTTTTTTTACGAAATGTGACATGTCATCGGAAAATGAGCCTTGGTTGCCCATATATCATCGAAAAATCTGACACATCTTCAGATTCTATTTGTACAATCGCCAGGAGCCTTATTCCAACCGAAATTGCTGAACTTCGATGCAGAAATGCTCATGTAGTTGACTCAGTGTTTCAGGTGCAAGTAACCACCTGCAAGAAATAACCACAAGAAATTGGTTTCTTGCAGCTATATTTACCCGCAAGAAATGCGAAGTGCAAGAACCTCCTTCCCGCCGCCATAGTTCTGAAGCCGCGTCGCTAGATGGCATTGTGTTTCTTGCACTTTCTTGCATTTCTTGCACCTTGCATTTCTTGCATTTGTTGCTTTGCAGTGCAAAAAATGACAAAAACCCGCAAGAAACGAAACACTGATTTGACTGAACCGTGCGCGCTATGTAATTCAACCTGGGGCAGGAGCGCAGTATGCATTTTGACAGCTATAAGAGCTAATATTTCACAAAACCTGTATGACTGTGGTACATATTCTCCATGTATTTTTTTCATTGTATGGGTGCGACATCCATGGAAATCCGAAGACTGGGAAGGATGAAGACTAACAATGGAGGTCTCCCAACGTATTCTGACAGATTTGGACCAAACTAGTGTCAATCGATCACAAATATAATTAATATGAAATTTGCAAACGGAACTATCTGCCAATGCGCAGGTTTTGCAAAGATATTTGCATCCAAAGCGGGAAAAATGGGCAGCTAATTTGGAAAATAAAAATTTGCCAGGCCTTGGGCGCCTTTTCCCTCTTTTAAATGCAAATATCTTCGCAAAACCTGCGCATTGGCAGATAGTTCCATTTTCAAATTTCAAACTAATCATATTTGTGATCGATTGACACTAGTTTGGTCCAAATCTGTGAGCATACGGTGGGAGACCTCCATTGTAAGTAATTACTTTACTTTGGCAAAATATTTTCCCCATCTCTGGCACATATTTCTTGTCGAGCTGGGTTTTATAAATTACTCAACCATTTCTGAATTGACACCTTTAATCCAGTATTTATTCTGACAGCGTTAAGGGTGGTCGTTGCGCCTGTTAAATAAATATTTAGCGTTACTTTTGGGTACAAAATATAGAATTCTATTACATAATATTCTCTTTACTAGGATGTATTTACGCGTTATGTAAGAACTTCTGATACCTAGAGGACATGTCTATCGCTTAGTCTGTACAGAATAATAAATGAGTTTGAATTAACTTATTAGAATAGATGTATACAATGAGATCAGTCTTCAACAAAAAATTATTCATTCAAATAGTCATTTGTTGACTTGAAATTGTGACAATATTCATTCAATTATTTATTCATTGACAAGAATCAGCATTCATTCAAATAAATATTCTTTCATCAATATTAGGCAACACTCATTCAAATATTTATTTATTCAAATACCTTCCTCATCTTCCTCATATTTATCTCAAATATCTTCGCATATAAATAATTGTCAATGATGTGGACTTATTATTTTCTACATAATTATCTAAACTCTACTCTGTCTAAATCCAAGCTATTTTCATACCTAATTAAAGCGAGAAAATGTATATACATTTACTTATTCAAACTGCCATATTTACTAAATAACGCGTCGCACTTGTCGTTCACTTCGAGTTTTTACCAACTCGACGTTTTCTTCTTGTTCAAATTCGACTGGAATCACGAAATCATTCACGTTGTCAGGAATAGAGATTATTCTCGGAGTAATTATCTGCAGGGGGTAAATTCCTTGCAACGGCCTGATCAGAACTCCATGGGTGGTCTTATCTTTACACCTGCGAATCTTTTCCGAGAAACAACTCCAATATTCTTCGAAGGGGTCACTCATAACTCTTCTCGTTAGCAGCGCCGGTACTAAAAGCCGGACGCGAGAAAAACTATTACATTAATTGTTTTTCCCCGTATTGCTCACAGCTACTGCGATGGTAGCAACAGCCCTGGCCCTTAATCTCTTCGATTTCTTACAACAACTCGATAAAAGCGATTTCCTCATAAATGCAATCAATACACCAACTTGACGTCGATTTGCGAAAATAAAAACGGGAAAAGATAAAATAATCAAGCTGCCCGCCAAAATAAACACTGATGGCCATGCCCCCCGCAGAGTAGCGATATTACTAGGTTTCAAATCTTCTACCTTCTCCATTAACACGGCAGGGGTTCGATTTACGTTTTTATTCCTCATTTCCTGTTTTTCAACATAGGTCAAAATCCCGGATTCAGCTACCCTTTTAAAACTTTTAACAACCCGCGACTTCCACGCGTACTGAAATGAGATACCACTCGGATAACTCTGTATTGCTTCTGTACTCAGGAAAAACTTCATATCTGGATATCTTCTTGATAAAAATTCGTTTTCCAACCCGATCTCTGACGATTTCCCAATAAAAACCGTCTTACCACATTGTACAATCTCCCTTTCTATACTTCCCCTTACAACTGAATAGGTCAAGTTTTGATTCCTATAACTGAATCCGGACGGATAAAAAGCATGCCGCAAAGAGTAAAAGTGCATGTCTTTCATGAATTGCAGATTTTTAGACGACTCCCACAAATTGAATGCCATCTTATGCAAAACAGACAAGAATTCTGGAAAAACTTGAACGCTGTTACCTGGTTCGAATGCTGAGAGGAGTCGATAACACGAACTATCCACATTGATGTTGTTAACGTCAAATCTTAATGTTTCGACGTACTTCATCAGTACGGTATTCGTAAGACGGGTTAGCTGGTTGTGGAAGGAAACAAATTCTTTGATCCATACCCTGATGTCGTCGTCAATTTTTCCTTTTAACGATTTGTTAGAATATGCTATATCGAGAATATCGTATTTTAAGAAGTCCTTGTATTT